CCCCGGCCCCCCGCCCCCCCCCCCCCCCCCCGCCCGCCCCCCCCCCCCGCCCCCCCCCCCCCCCCCCCCCCCCCCCCCCCCTAGGTATCTTAGGCATTTGGCACTATATACGGTTGATCAGCACGCAAGGATACCATCACAGCATTTCCAGTGTGAAGACAAAGGACTTACCACAAGCACTCTTGCTGAACAATCTTCTAGATGTGATCGGCGTAGAGGCATGGTACCTGGATCACAGGGCCGTTGAAGAAGTCCACTTTAATAAATTGGCACCTAGTACATAGCAGTCCAACAGTCATCGGGACGTACTATCCGTCTTCGTTGATCCTCGCCTGGTAAACCACAGGGCCAGAAAATGGAGGAGGTCTAGAAGACATAGCGGGCGACGGAAACGAGATCGGGGCAAGCAGCGCGATAGGACGTCGGTGGTGGTGTGTGGGCGACGCACGTGATTCCAGCGATGCGGACGGCGTTGTCGGCGTAGATGGATTAATAGGAGGGTAGTGGGAAGCAAGGCTTACGTTTTGTGTTTTGTTATGTTCGAGCGACTTCCTAGGAAGTCGCTCAGACGGACTGTCCTAGAAGGCGTATTAAAACCCGTTTTACAATAAACGGTTTTTATTTTTGTTTTTATGCACTTATGCTAAGTACGTGTATTGGAGATTATGCAGATTTTTGTTCGTATGGGGCTATGAAAAGCGGGTCTTGCTCAGGACAGGGCTCAGGCTCAGGCTAAAAGCGGCGTGGCTCAGGTTGCCTTCCCATTCCGGTTCGGGATGGTAAAACCTATCTCAGAGGTACTGCTACTGTACCTTAAGTTTAAGTTTGCTAGGTAACCTAGCTCGCCGGTAGTTCAGAGGCAATTAGTTGCTGAGGTACGATTTGTAAATGAAAACCCAACCAACGTCTGTTCGCAATACAATATTGAAATGATATGCCATCTCTTAACAAGTAGCAATAAGTTCTACATTTCCGAGGACATTGGTATAATTGTCTAGTTAAGGTAGGTAGGTCAATACGGCGTAACAAACTCGAAAACCGTTAATTTGCCACGCACAACTTCTAGTACAGCTAAGCACTAGGAGATAAATTGAGATTTATTCGAAACCGGGCCAGTTGCATTTTTACTGTGATTCTAACTCAATGAACGTTAGCAAATAGCCGTGGCTTTTTAAATTACGAAGTCGGGTCTTGAAACCCGTTCAACCATAGACAATACTTTTCAACAGCAGATGTAGTCCTGCCCTGTCTTCTCCGGGCGTCCAGCAATCGGTAGTGGAGGGTGGAGAAATTATCCCATTCGATTCGGGGTCCGGCTCTGTCCCAACTCGCGACACACACAACCCGCCCCTTTACCCCTGGTGCGGCGGAACGAACTTTCACTACTACGGTACGTGGTGTAGTGCTATGCTTGATTGACGGCTACCTATGCATACGGCACGAAAGTGGAGGGACGGTATTCTTGTCTACGTGCTATGCCTATGTGTTTTACTTACGAACACCAGGTCAATTGTAAAAGTTGGCGCGCTTGGCGTCCAAATCAGGACCGGGAACTTGTGAAAGAAGAAAGGATAAAAGAGTAAGGTAAAGCCAAAAGCAAAGGAGAGAGGAAAAGAGGATGCCATTAAAAAAAAGGAAATTAGTGCAGTGGTGATTTCTATGTCACGAAATGTCTATTCTTGCATGACAACCATATATTAATTAGAATGACGTTTATGCAAAGCTTATTTACCGAATGTAGGCTTGCTGGCTGAGGATTCCGAAACCATGTTGATAAATCGTAGTCGAGAAGGGGAAACTCTAGACTTAGAAAAGATAGATATAAATTTTTTGTCGATGGTGCGAATTAGGTGCCAACTAATGCTCGAGGCAAGATGAGATAGTACAATGCAGAACTCATGCAGTGATTTCTCCGTCAAACTACAAGAGATCGAGTTCTAAATCTATTCTGATATCAAATATCTTAATGACTATATTATTGATGCACACTGGTATGTAGAGGCCGAATATGCGCAACCAACAATGGCCCTCAATCAAAGCGTCCTCTGTAAACCCTGATCCTGCTTTTCATGTACAAGCCCCTGCTCGTGGCCATAGGATGTACATGTAACCGCCTTTCCCAAACGCCATGCCTTAGATCATCTGTTGTCAAAGCTGGGCCTAGAATAAACTCTTGACTCGAGCCTAGCTGCATCCCGTCCTACCATCACGAAGCCAATATTGTACACCATAAAAATAAACATGCTCAGGCTGTTCGTCAAGCGACATATTCTCTCCGGGTATCACGTCGCCACAATCGAGCCGTTGGCCCCTACAGGTGTGCTACCTGTGCCTTGCTGGGCTGACTCTACGAATCCAGGGCGCCACTTTTGCAAATATTTAGCAGCCGTGGGTCGCGCATCTTCGTACTCAGTCCAAATATCCTGGACCGTGTCGAGGGCAATGTCCCTAACTGGAGGGCGAAAAATGACAAGATAGTATAAACTCGTAAGGGCGAGGTTGACTAAACTCGGGTCGCGACATAGGAGCTTAACTCTCGCGAGTATTGAGACGGTGAGCTCAGGTAATTCGCTTAAAAAACGGGTCAGGACTTTGTCCTGCGAATGCAGATACGAGAAGAACCCATCAACTAAACGAAGCGTCCACTTTTCGTAGTTTGCAGGAGCATCATGTGGTTCATTAGGAGATGAAGAAAAGCGGTGCTGTACGCGCTCTTTATACCATTCCTCGGTCAGCCAAGTAACGGCCACATCGATACGTTTTCTGAAGTCTTCCATTACGTAGGCATACAACATTTCCCGTATACTGTCACTCATGCTAACAGTAGGTGCCGCAAGGGCGTTATGTTCATCTTTGACGGAAATACCATCGAGACCGGCAGTTGCGCGTGTAGCTAAACGGGTTATTACGGTTATCCACGAGTCGCGGTCATATGAGCTAGCTGCAAGTCTGTTTAAACCGGCCTTGGACTTCTTCGTAGTGGGGTCTTCGAGAGTTTGCATGGTACCAAAGACGCGTGCAATAGCACCTTGACCAACTCTCGCGGCTTGTTCTGGGTCTAATGGCGATGGTGGAGGAAGTTTAAAGGCTGGCAGCGCTAAGGCACCAAGCACTGGCGCCTGCAAATCTCGCCTCTCGTCTGAAGGTGACGAGTCAAGTTTATTCATAAGTTGTTCGGTATCTTCAGCAGCATAATAGTCTGGCTCGTAGTCATCGTCATCCTCTTCTATACCTAAAGGAGCAGTCTCAGGGTTCAGCGGTTGTTGATGAGCTTCTTGGAAAGCCGTGAAACGGGCTCGGACACCCTATTTATATATCAGTCTGGACTCATAGGAGTTTAGAGCATAATTACTTACATCAATGGCGCGTTGGAGGATTTCGGTGTCAAGTTGAGCAATAGTTCGCACACTAATTTTGGCAGCTAGTGGTGCTGGAATCGCATCGCTCACGTTGAAATTCTTCAACCCATCATTATTAGTGAATGTGAAGATCTGAGCCAATGTATTTTCTCCCGGCTTTAAGGGCGTGATTTCGATCTGGGGCTGACTAGACAGAGTTGCCATGCGTTGACGTTTCGCTTCACCGGCACTAGCCTGGTCAACCATTACGCGCTTTCGCCCATTTTCGTCGAAAATCTCAGCTCGTGACCGCGCGAGCCGCTCAACATGTTGTTGCATTCGACCTGCCAAAGGGTTGTGGACGTCCCTATTTAGATATGTTAACACTAGGAATGAATGATTAGGTTGGAAGAACTGACCGTCGATATAGATGCGTGAGCAACATCCTTGTTGTCTTTTCCATCGACTTCACTAGGACCTTGGTTTTAGGCGTTAATGGAGTGGTTGTCGCTAATCTTAAGGGATTGAAGTTGAATAATGTTGATATAATACGGGGAGATGTTTTTGGTCGTTGGCGAACTAGGATGGATAGAGTATTTAAAGTTGCATCAACCAACAATGGGTCGCTGGAGAAATGATGAAAGTGTCAGCCACAGTCTCTGTTGTGTAAATAAGGTGCAGTAAGAAAGAATGAAAGGAGTATACGCACCTAGTCTCATCCTCTAAAACACCCAGCATTCGATCCAGAAGCCCAGAAGCCTCAGCTTCCAATTGTTCACCATCTAGCACTGAGTGATTAGGGGGTACCATATTGCGGGAGATATCAAGCGGATCGCCGCGCTGTGATAGGGAGTTAGCGATGGCTCAACAGCAGCTTGAAATGGAACTCGTACTCTTGGCTCGGGGTTCACACTTGAGGTGTGTGCCAATACTACCCTTTGTACAAATTTGATGCAACATATCCGTACTGTTAGGGGAGCAGTATCCCAAATATCCCTTATTCTTGTTTTGATAGCTGTCATTTTCCCCCATGTAGGAAAATCGTAAGCATTGTTTATTCTAACAAAAACCTTGAGGTCAGCAATAGGCCCCTTCTTGAACAACAACAACAACAGCAGGCAACCTGGCAGGCCGATGAAAAACAATGGCGATAATGGTCAAAGAAAAGAGCTGCACACGAAGTCACAGACTAAGGTTGCGGCAAGGTCTACAGACAAGGCTACAATATGGAGCGATAAGGGGTACCTACATCCACCGCATAGCTAGCGGATATATGCTAGCTGCAGCTTGTATCACAGACCGCAAGACCAAAACATCCTGCTTAGGGTCCTCCACCAGTGACTTTAATGTGTCGAGAACTGTCAGGGCCAAAGTCTCCCTGCCACTGAGAGGGACGGCGGGAGTAGAAAACGCTTCAGCGAGAAAGTCGGCACCCCATCTCCGGAACTCGACATGGGAGGAGGGGCCAATAATAGGTATAGTAGCTTGAATGACCTGTGGATAATATGAAACATCCTTTAGGACCAGCTTCCGTGCGCCATCCAGTTGGCGTATCTGGTCGGCCACGGACAACTGAGGAGAGGTTGCCATGTTGACAGCATGCGCGGAACTAACTCAAGCTACGCTAGACAACCAACCTGAGGAGAGACAGGAAGGTCTGGAGGGAACTACGGATGGCAACAGGAGGTATACCCCGAACACATCAAAGCAGAGGTTGAGGTCTTTGTTACTGTTGGGGCGCTCGACGATGGGGGGGTAGAGATGGGAAAAACAAGGCAAGGGACAATGCGTTAATGCCAGCTGAGGCTGGGGGGTGGTTAGTCGATGTCGACTGTCGAGCAATTGGTGCTGACATGTACGGATATCAGGGCCGCTGGAAGCAGAGGCGTTTATGGTGAGTTAGACGAGGATGCGAACAAGATGAAGTCGTTGTAGTAAGGCTTGGTGGTTCTTCTGGTCTCTGCTTGGTGATGTCAGTTGGAGGCGTCTCTCAACCCACTACTACTGCGATTTGCGTCGCATGCACGCGTCTGTCGCATACATCATCGAGACTCACCAGTCACCGCAATATCGTCTTCTGTGGATGCATCTAAGCAAATTAAGGCCTCAATATGGTGTTAGTAGTCGGCAGGGCAGATGCCTTACGATTGGGAGTTGTTGGGAAGGAATGTAAAAGTTATCAAGAAAGAATTCAAGCCCATGACATGCTAAGTCAAGATTTGGACGCGAAGACATTGAGAGCTACTGCAGCCCAGGTACAGGTAGGTAGTACCTGCCTGTTTTCCTAGGTAGGACCTACTAAATGCCTACACAGGCATCTGATGATGTGCATACCTACCTAACCTTAGGTATCCAGTATGTAGGTAGGGAAGTAGGTACTGGGTACCTACGCTAGGCACATGAAGCTACCTAAATTAGGTAGCACTATGTACCTCACTTCAGTAAGTATGTACCTAGCGGGTCAAAAAGTACCTATGTACATAGCATAGCCAGCCTTACCAGCGGCTCTCCCAAGAAGGTTTGGAGGCTCGTTGCCGTTATTGCATGTTAAACTAACTACATACCCTCCAACAATTTACCACCGACCAGGCGAGAAGACATTCAAAATGCCATTTGGGTAATTCACGATTCTATGTCCTGTTAGCTCTGTTGCGTATCTCCCAAAAGCTAACACTGGCGCCTTGTCCTTAGATTTGGGAGCTCATCCTACTACGACCGCCAATTCCGCCAATCGCCCGCTCTCATCAGGGCCCGGAAACCATACCTCGTCAAGAATGCCGTCGTCGGTTCCGCCATTGCTGCCTTCACCATAGGCATTTGTAAGCCTTTGCCAACTCATTTTATTGCACACGTGCGCACAAGATGAAGTATATACGGACGGCTAATACGCCTTGTTAATTGGCTAGACATTTACACTATTCGAGCTATCGGCCAAGACGAGTTCGAAGACGTCAAGGTCCCCGACGCACCTGTGCAGTCATCTCAAAGATGATTTCATTCGCTAAGCAAAACTCACGCTGCAATACGACGCCATTCATCATGCGTAATATTAGGCGCATCTATCACTCTACAAAGCAGTGGCGGAGGTCCGGAGTCATTGTCTACGAGTGTGATTCAGAAGCAAATAGATGGTATCATAGGCCCAAAACCGAGCCCCCTAGCAAGTTGGCTCCCTTTCAAAACGCCACAGGGAGCTTGTGTATCTACATAAACGGCGACCAACATCGCACTGTACCATAAACAAGGTAAACCTGCCTTGTATCCATAATAAGCAACAAGAATGCACCCCAATCTTGCTCCCGACATAACTCCCCCGTGAGCAATTCAATCCTCAACGCCTATAGTCAATCACAGCTCACGGCGCTTCATACAAAATAGCAATGCACCTGGTATCATAAGGTATAATATGGTCGTCATCCGCTATGTATTCAATGCAAAATGCCTCCTTCCGCTAATTTCGGTTCCTCAATGCGACAGTCTATGAGGTCACAGCCGTGGCTCCGGAATAATTACGAGGATGATGGTTCTCGCTTGTATTAGGAGTCACCGCCCCCCTACCCAAAGTCCTCGTCTGCTCCAGTAAATTTGCTGCGCGTGTGACTTCAGGTGAAGTGGTTTGTTGCCTGGTTATGCCTTTTGACGGTTTGGCATGGCCGTTATAAGGTTGGGAATCTGAGGATATGGCGAACGGGTTCGGCTGGTTCGAGACTCGTCGAGGCTCGGCTGACGCGCCCGATAAGGCATTAAGCATATGTGGTTCATGTTGATTTGTGTGTTGTCGCTGCAAAAGATGTGCGTTTGAAGGATGATTTGGGTTGGCCCAAGGAGTTTGCTCAAGAAACTGTGCGCCGGCAGGTCCAAGTGCTTCTCCGAGGGGTACACCCCCATAATCAGCATATATTGGCCTTGGCAAAGCATGCCGTGGTGGGTGATGCCTATTTCTCTATTTCTCATACGTTAGCAACGAGTGGTTTATCGACCTTTGTGAGACACATCCAAAACTTACATTGATGGCGTCAAAATCGTCTTCTAGCTCTTGAGGGTTGGCGCCCTGCATGTCAGGAGCGGCGGGCATACCTTCGTATTTCGCAATACCCGCAAGGATTGAAACTTCTCTGTTGTACGAAAGAGCATCACGTAGGCGCTGGGAAGAATTTTTAGGAAAGCGAATACCGTATTCGGGGATATTGTTGGCGTTCTTTCTTCGTTCGTGTTGTATGTCATACCAGTGCTGACCAAGCTCTGCTAATATTCTTTCTCGCGATTCTCTTACTGCTTGGAAAAACTGGGAGTGTATTTGAGCTCGTCGTGCTACCGCCCATCTCTCTGAAGCTTCTATTTTGAGTTCAAGCTCGCGATCAGCTATGCGCAGCCTTTCATCTCTCCGCGCATCGACGCAGCGCATCATCGCGAGGTAATCTGGATGTGTTGGGTTATCGGACCGCAACATGGCTTCTTCCCTATTTAACTGCTCTAGCCGTTCCTCATAAAGCCTAAGGAAGGGTTAGCATTCTTCAACGAGGCGTGAAGGCTCGGATCTCACTTTTCTCTAAATGTCGCAAATCGCTTCTCAATCAAACTAAGTTGTTCGAAGGCAGCCCTTTTCCTTTCAACTATGGTAGTGGAGTCAGTGTCTCTGTCCAGGGAAATTGCCAGTGACCTTGCCATACGTTCTTCTTCATTTTTTGCGGCTGCTTCTGCCTCCTCATCTACGTCAACCTCCATATGCTCGTCTTCGCCGGTATGCGCTTCATCTTCTTCGGGAACTGTACCGTCCAACGATTCTCCGGTAGGCACACCCGCCTCAGCTGCTTCACTGGCATCTTTGAGCTTTTTTGAACTACTACGGGTGCTCTTTCTGGTATTAGGAAGATGATTTGATGGTGCTCGCTGAACAGGCTCATCCGGCTCTGGTTCTTCGTCACCCGCCGTCGTATCGACGGCCTCGTCAGCAGATTGCTCCCCACTATTCGTGTTCAGAGACGGGTCATCCTCATCTGCCATTACCGCCTCGCCATCAACTGGGACTTCACCTGCCTCAGGGATAGACGCAGCGCGTTTTCGTAGTGAGTGGTCAATCTCAGTAGCTTCGATGGGCAAAGACCGCTTGCGCTTCCTGCTCTCGGCTTCTTGCGTCGCAGCTGCTTCTGCTAGTATATCCAAGGTTGGCGAGGCTAGTTTCTTGGGGTGGTTTGTTGGTTGCGTAGGGGGGCTAGAGGCCATCGAGACATCGTCGTCGGACAAGGGCGTATCTTGATGCTCGCCGTCTCGGTGGGCCACATTGGCTTCTTGCCGCAACTTGCTCGGAGTGCGTTCGTACACCGCTGTGTCCGCTGGTTTGTCAAGGTCAACATCCTTATGCCGTATGGTCTGCTGGGGGGTGTCATAGAGACGTTCCGTTTCCGCTTCAGTATCGTTCGCGTCAGACTGATTGTCAGGGAAGCTGGAATCATCTTGCTCGTTGTTCGTTAGACGATCCTCGTCATGTAGATCGTCGGGATCCTCGTCTTTATCCTCGACATCGCTGAGGGGGCTAGACCCGTCGTCGTCTGAGAGCGGCTCGATCTGCGGGGGAGGAATCGAGAGAGGCGGAGGCGCCGTGTCGCCCGTCGCCATTGCGTGATTGAGAATGCAGAGGTTCCGCAAGTTTGACACAGACCGATAGAATGTGGTGGTTACAACTTCAAGGTAGAGTCATGAAGATGTTGGGTAGAATCGCGATGTGGGAGGCGTCAAGTGGTAGTAGCTTTTCGGAGAGTTTTGCAGGAGAAACAAGAGGTGAAATGAAGATGATGGGGACGCGGATGAGCTCAGAGATTCGGTTGTATTGAGCATGAGAAAAGATTTCGACCAATGTAGACTGTGTGATACGGTGTCGCGGAACAAATATATTCAGGGCTGGCCGAGCCAGTCCTTTCGAATGGTGCAAGTGAGCAGAAGAGAAGAGGAACCGGAGCGATCACGTTGCGCTCTTACTGAAGGAGAAGAAGACCTAACCAAAATCCGGCGCTGCTGCTGCGCGCCCCAATGACCCCAAGTCGCTAGGGACGGTTACGTTACGGCATTTGGCGGCCGAGAGCAGGAGCGCTGCTATCGATAAGGGCGGACGACTTTCCAGCAGCTGACCCGACAACTCAGTGCTGTACTGCCTACCTACTTGCAGCGAGTAGTTGCCAATGGCAGGCCAGTACTAGCCGAGCTAGCTGACCTACTAATAGTCCAGGGATAGCTGATGCTTGCCTGTATTGGGTAAAGCCGGCTCCGATAAGATAAAGAAAAATGGAAATCTGATAGCCTGTGCTCCACTGCGTTCTGTAAGGTTGTAGACATCTTAGATATCGTAGCTTTTTTTTTTCTAACAATACGCGAATGGTCTACAGACACGCGCCAATCGATAGAGCACCCAAAACCTGCAACGGATAAGCAATGGTGAAAATGTGAGGATATATTAGCTTCAAAAACAATGTTATCCTGGCTAATCAACTGACTTTTGTTGTAGAAAACCTGGCTTAGCAGCTCCGAGCACGGCTCTGGACCCCACTCTGAATGCTCTCTTCGCAAGCAGTGTATGTCTTATAGTGCAACAGACATTTCTCCCGGACTGACCACTTCACAGCTTGGCCCAGTAGTAGCGCCTTCGAAAGATCGCTATGCAGAGCTGCTACCAAAGAGAGAGCCACAAGCTACAGAGAAATCAGACGTTAGAGATTCCGCCACGACATCGAGTGACGAGCAAGACAACGAGTCCGATAATTCTTTGAGTGAATTTGAAGATGACGACGTTGACTTGGATGAGGTTGGAATAGAAGACGAAGAAGACGCGCGATCCGTCGAGAGCGAAGAACAGGCAGCTGAAGTAGAAAGCGCCCCCGCAGCCTCGCGAGCGCCACGCAAAGAGCGCAAAAGGAAACGAAGAGATGACCATGATGATCTGGAAGGCGCTTATTTACAGAAATTGGCTCAAGAGGACGAGAGGGCTGATCGCAAAGAAAAGCGCCTTAAGGGTGAGGCTGGGCAGGCAGTCGAGATCTCTGCCGCTACCGAAGCCGAGAAACTCGAGGCTGAAGAATCCTCCTCCGATGAGACGCCTTTAATTCACGAATCACTTCAGAAACCAGATGAACATGTCGATATCGAACTTGACAAAGCAAATCGAACCTTGTTTCTCGGCAATGTGTCGATTGAAGCCGTCACCTCTCCCAAGGCGAAAAAACTTCTAACGTCCCATCTTGAAACACCATTATCCGACCTCGACTCTTCAACAGGACCACATAAAATTGAATCTATTCGATTTCGCTCAACACCTTTTTCTACTGGCGCTAAGCCCAAACGTGCCGCTTTCATCACAAAGTCGGTCATGTCTGCTACTACTAAGTCTACGAACGCTTATGCGGTTTACTCAACCCCTTTAGCGTGTAGGTCTGCCCTCAAGGCCCTCAATGGATCTGTAATCTTAGATAGGCATTTAAGGGTAGATAGTGTTGCTCATCCGTCTGCTATCGACCATCGAAGATGTGTCTTTGTGGGGAATTTAGGCTTTGTGGATGACGAGACAGTGGTAAATACCAATGCCGATGGGGAAACTGTCACGAAGAAGAGGCACAAAGTTCCTGCTGATACAGAAGAAGGACTGTGGAGGATATTTGGAGAGCACGCGGGCCAAGTCGAGAGCGTCCGCGTACCTCGGGATGATAAGACTCGTGTCGGAAAGGGTTTTGCATATGTTCAATTCTATGATGGCAATGATGTTGAGTCTGCGCTTCTTCTAGACGGGAAGAAATTTCCGCCCATGCTACCGCGCGCCCTGCGAGTATCCCGAGCTAAGGATCCACGTAAGACGGCGTTGGCAATGGAACGAACTGCAAAGAGCGCGACCGGCACTGGCGCTAAGAGCAAGAATACGAAATACACGCCAAAAATTACCCCAGAACAGCAGTCGCGGGCAGGTCGTGCAGGAAGACTACTTGGTCGCTCTGCTGCAGTCAAGCATCAACGCGAACTCAAAGGTGACCGCCAAAAGCTTCGAGTGAGGAAAGACCAGCGTCAAGAGATTGACAATGGAATCAAACCCCCTGAACAATTTATTTTTGAAGGTCGCCGAGCCAGTGCGAGGGACGGCAAACCCAAAGATCTCAAGTTTGGCAAGACAAAAGGAAAGAAGGGTGCAATCAAAGGCAAGGCCAAGGGCCGAGGAGCTCGCAGAGCAGCCGAGTGGAGAAAAAGTAAGACGTCGTAGGTTAGATACTTTAATCATCTGGCTGTGTGATAGCTGTCCAGCTATATCTAATTTCATCTGGGTATGAGTGCATGGAAATGGTGAACCCTAAATGTAACGTTGTACCTCATCATTGTGGCCATTTATACCTAATCATTCACACTTATGCCGCGCCATCGACCTTGTTCTGTACAGCAAAGAACATCTTAGGGTAAACCAGGACAGAAGCTATATAACACCAAAAATGTATATATGTATCGATTTCATACGCCAACCCCTTGCAAACAATCTGGCCTTCCCGTATCTCACCACGCAATCTCCTTTTTTGGTTTACCTATTTTAAGATCACATCCCAACGAATCCGACAATGCCAGCAACAAGACTAACAAGCACGATATTGCCCGCGCCCCTGGATGCCGCATTCTGACCAACAGGCACCACACTAGTGCTCGCACCAGCAGGGGAGCTGGTCTGACTCACCAGTTCCTGAGACGCGGCCGCCGAGGAAGCCCCTGCCGACTCTGAAGCCTCACCAGCGGCCCCTGACGCAGTGGCGGTGGCCAATGTGTCCGTAAGCACCGTCGAGCCAGACGTAGCACCAGGAAGCGGCTGTAAACTGCCCTCCGAAGCCGTGGCGCCGGCCCCAGGGAGTTGCTGCAAGGCACCACTCGAAGCCGCGGCACCACCGCTGGCACCGGACCCGGAACCGGCGCCGATGCTGCTGCTGTTACCGAAGATAGCCGAAGCAGTAGCGGTCGCAAATGTTGTGGGCAGGGCGACGAGCGAACCCGAAGCGACTGCGGATCCAGGGAGGGTTTGGAGAAGGGCGCTGCTTGATTCCTCGACTGCCGCGGCGCTGGACGTCACGCCAGCTTCCAGACCCGCTGTGGCGGAGGCATTGGCGAATATGGCGGAGGTTGCAAGGGGTGTCTCCTCGGATAGTAGTGCTGCTGTCGTCGTGGAGGCGGAAAGATCTGCCCCTGCGCCGATAGTCTCGAAGCCGCCGATGGTGGCACTCGTTGCTGCTGTGGATGTAGCCTCGACGACCTCAGACAATGAAGATGTTGCTACGTCGGACGCGGTCTCAGTAGCATCGAGCAGTGCAGACGACTCTGAGGTAATAGAGGTGACGAACGCAGAGGTGGAAGCGATCTCCGTTCCTACGTCCACGCCGGCACCGATCGTCTGAAAGCCGGCGATCGAAGTTGCCGTGGCCGTGTTTAATTCCGCGGCGCTGCTCGATCCCGCAATAGTGCTCACGTCTGCTGCCGTAGTGCTTGCACCTGGCAAAGGAACAAGCTCCACAGCTGAAGTCGTTTCCACGCCAGCCATGGGGTTAAGCAGCGGGATGGCAGTACTGGAGGCGATGACCTGAGTGGATTCCTTTGCGTTTCTTGTGTTAGCTGGGTTCTTTGAACTAGACAACCGAAATTTTTACCTCTGATGCCGTTTCTTCCGGTGCCGTGGATATTTCAACCACAGCAGAAGTTTCGGCAGCGGCAGTCGTCTCCAGAGCAGCCGACGTCTCAACGGCTATTGCAGTACTCTGAACGACAGACGCCGTGGTAGCTCCTGGGAGAGGCTGTAGTTCACCAGTCGTGATTTGTCCACCCGGCAATGCTACGAGACCACCCTCTGCACTCCCAGTATCCCCTTGCTGTACCTCGCCGCCAGCATTATTTCCCCTTTCCGAGGACTCTTCCTGGCCTGCCTTGTTATTGGCACCTTGCCGCTCACTTCCAGAGAATTCCTGTTGCGATGTCCGAGTTAAGCCGTCGAATCTTCGTTGAAGGATCTGTGTGCCAGAATTTCCAGCAGGCACAGCATACACACTGCTTGCCAATAGTACCGCTACTGCAGTAGCGAAATTTGGGCGCCTCATAATGTTGAGAGGAAAAAAAAAAAAACTAGATACGTATGGATGTATGCGTGCTCTAGTTTCGGCCTTGCTTGACCGAGATTAAGATAGGAAATACCTGGTAGCTTTGGTATAGAAGCACCGTGGCCAACTGAAGCGTAATGGGTATATAAGACTAAGTATACGCGTCGAGAAATGAAAGGAATTTGAGTACGCGTAGAGAACGTAGGACTAGTGACTGCTCAACAAGTTGTAAATGCTGACCGGCAGACCAATATGAAAATCAGGGTAAAGGATTTTGCAAAATCGACTATACTTCAATAGAGCGACTCGCGCAAGAAACGAATATTAGAAATAAAGTGTCCAGCAACTAGATAGAGGGTCAAGGGAAGAGAGAAGGAAAGGGAAAGAAAGGCAGCCTAAGCGGAGGCAGAAGAGATGAACATCACAATCCGGGGATGACAAGACACGGCAAAAGCGGCCTGACGCCCCTGGGCTGGCGATCAGGTTTTATGAAATCCAATGGTCATTTGACATCACCTTATTCTGGTTGTTTGTTGTCGCCATAGCGCCCCCTCATATGAAGGAACTACCGTCTCGACCGTCTCTCTCACTCGTCGCTGTCCGTGATCTGCGGCGAAGGGGACCTTAGAGCTTCAAGCATCGTTCCACTGCATGCCAATGCGTGGCTATTATGACGGCTTACTTAATAAAAGTTTGATAATTTTCGCCGACCCCAGACTATTGGACGAAATGGGACGGCATAGTATGAGGAGACCATGCTCATCGGTGCTCGAGGATCTACCTACACTTCAATATTAGAAGAGGGTGTGATTAATAAGGCACTGATGTGTCACACCCTCCTGCCATCCAAACATCAAGTATATAAGATCCCAGGACACACTGGCACAGAGTTTCCGAATGAACACTGTGCTAAAAAGGGGGGGGGGGGGGGGGGGGGGGAAAAACCAACGGCAATGTAAAACGTAAGATGGAAATAACAACGCGCAGTGTAAAGAAACCTTTTTTAAAAATAATAAGGGGTTAGATTTAAAAAAAAAAAAAAGGA